GTTCCCAGAGTGAGACAGGAGAATAGGCTCATTTGGTCTAATGGCCACCTCAGAAAGTTTTGGGAATATTTGGAATGTAGAAGGAGGCCCAAGAGACCACCCAGTAGCAAAAACCCAAATAAAAGCCTTCCAAAAACAACAGGGGGCAAATAAGGGTCGGCTCCTCCCCCACTGCACATCCTGACCAGGGCTGGGCTACAATGGGTCGGCCATTTTGTCATCTTGTTCAACTCTGCTAGCATTGGACATAAATTCTTAAGTGTCACAGAGGGTCTGTGCCTTGGAAATCAATGTTATCACTGTGTATAATGTTTGAAGGTGACAGAAAACATGGATAGGTTAGAGAGACTTGCCATTTCATCTAGAACAGGAAAAAAAATGCGCCAGGAGTTCAACTCAGCATGCCTTCTCTCTAAAGTAGGCAAAACAAGAACCAACTCCAGGAGGTTCTTGCGGAGCCCTGAATAATATGCATATTGATTGCCCAGCTTTTTAGGCAAAAGGCTATGAAAATACTTTGATGGAATTGAGACATCACTATACAATTTTGAAATCAAAGCTGCTTCCAAGCTGTTTTCTGTTATTGTTTATTCGGATTCCTCACTGATTAAAATTAAAATCTGCTTACAAATTGAGATCTGGAAAGATGTCTCTTCACTTCTGTACATATAGGCAATGTATCCTGACTGCTTCCAACTTTTCTTCCTTAAGGCAGGGAGAATTCACATTGCCTTCTCAGCACTGAAGCAGTTCCTCTAGGAGAAGCAAAACTTGTCTGCAATTATCTAAAGGAATCACTGGGTAATTTAAATAAAATGTTTTTTTCTGCTACCCACAGAGTTGTATCTTTGTGAAATGAATACTAATAGATTGTTGTTTTGTTTCTAATATTCATTAGATGGTGGTTCTATTAGAGAGTAATGCAATTTCATAATCTAGGTGAGGTGAACCCACATTGAGTTTTGTTAATCTCCATTATGTTTCCTACTGGGATTATACAGGACCCACTAAACATTGAATCTCCAGTGCAATGGGAGCACAAACTGTTCTGTCCCATGCTTCACTTGGTCAAACCAATGCAAGCACGACATTATTTTATATATCTGTGTCCTCTAAATAGAGTTTTTATTCTTTTTTACTCCTGCATAGAAGAAGAAGAAGATTATACAGTACCAAATTATTTTATCCAAGATGACCTTCAAACTGAATTCCTGGGACATCCCAACATCCTCCACCTGGAAGACCCTTACTCTACCATACTCCAACAAAGTTATATTTTAACTGTAAAGCACAAACATTCATACATTAGCTCTCTGATAAAGGTGGGGACTTGATTCACTGTGGTATGACTACCATACTCTATCGTGCCCACAGATTACTGTAACTTGTGGCAGCTTCGTTTGTCTTGTTTTGTGTTCAGGGTCATTCCTTGGCTGGAGAGCTTAGAGTGGAATTTTAACTATGATTTTTTTTTTGTGTTTAATAGGTTAACATCAAAGGCCACATTTCTGCTTCAGATATGCATGAAAAGCTGCCAGTGGAACTATTCATGTATATCCACATTAAGTTAAAATACTCCAACACTGGGGTACTATTAAATATCATCCTTCTTTTAAAAATATTTTAATGTGCATGTGGGAGGGTGAATAAGTATGTGAAAATTAATTAAAAAAAACTTCAATGAGTTTGTAGAAATGTTTGGTTTTGAGGGGAGCAGTCATCTGGACGGTCCTGCTCATAAATTCCATTTTTATACTTACCAATCATAGTTCCTCACCACACTTACCTTGGAGACTTCACATTCGTTGACCCACTCTGGTTATAATTTAGGGATACTGACAAAACAGAGGATACAACAGACTCACTCTCAAAGAGGCAACAGCAAATTCCACTTCTGATAATAGTTATCTACTCCATTAAATCAATTCACTTCATCTTTCCCGGTATCTATTCATCTCTAAACCATTGGCATTGCCAGGTTATTGCATGAATTTGAATGATAATGGATATTAAATGTTTGTATTTTTTTTTGTTCAAGCATCCTGCCTGTTAAATGATTAAAAAATGTATGGGGCTGGAGTGATAGCACAGCAGGTAGGGCATTTGCCTTGAACAAGGCCCACTGGGTTTGATTCCCAGCATCCCAAATGGTCCCCTGAGCACCGCCAGGAGTAATTCCTGAACACAGACCCAGGAGTAATCCCTGTGCATCACCAAGTGTGACGAAAAAATAAAATAAAATAAAATAAAAAATGTAAACTATCAAAAACCCAATAATGACAGAGATTTATAGTAAAAAACTTAAACTGAACACAAATTGGCTTAACTCCTTTGGATGGACATCATAATGCAAACTGACTCATTAAGTATTTAAATTTTTTCCATTGAGACAATAAATTGACATGAAAATTTGTCACAAGAAATATAAAGAATTAAAAAAGACTTGTACGAAGATGTTTTATAGTGTTTTATTGTTATGAAAGACAAATGGGAACAGCCTAATTTTTAAGCAAATAAGGGAACATTTAAGAACACTGTTACAGATGCTTTTATAATGTTTACATTAATTATAATGTTAAATTAATAAAATGGATTCACTATATATGTTATGTATAGTAATATCTTTGTAGCAGAAACATAAGCATTAAAAAATACTGGAAAGAAATGGAACACATTTTCAATACTAACAGAATTTTTTAAAAAGAAATGTGTTCTGAAGGAATATGTGAACTTTTGGCCCTTTGTATTTTTAATACTTTACACATATAGATGACACTGTATATTAATTTTTTTTAATTATACCTTAGCTCCCAATTAGCTAGAAACCTGCTCAACCAACTTTCCAATTAATCAAAGCTTTACTTCAATTAGCCCTGCAAAATATTTCTGAGACATTTTTTCCAGTGGTTCATTCTTATTTTTCTATCAAGCTATCTGTAAGATCATAGATATCCAGGAACTAGCACATTTGGCATTTGGTCAAAGAGCAAAAGCTTGAATTTAGCCATTGAGTGTCACAAGCACAACATCAAAAGAATGTTCAAACGTTGCTCCCCACATACAGCCTGGGCCATGTCATTTGATCCACAAGAATGTTGAGCAGCAAGCAGCGGGTGATGAATGCACAGGGCAGGAGAGCCAATGTATGCATTTCCATCAACAGGAGAATGGGCACAAGCCAAACAAGCAAGGGGTGGCATGTTTGAAATGCAGGGAGAGGTTTTTTTAGAGAAAACTTGTCATCAGAGCAGTGAATCATACCTAAAACACAATAAAAACCTCATTCATTTACAGCGCTAGAACAAAGCATCAGAAATGGGCAGCTACATGGATATCTGGGGCACTAATCCACTGGAAGTAACATTTATTACTTTCCAATGAAAGCCAATGTTCGTGGTTTTCTTTTGTGATGCTATGAAATGCCATTTTGTACTTCTAGCATGTCCTCCAGGCCTCTTTGACTCCCTTATGCTCAGAGCACCACACTCCATACACAGTGGAATCAGCCATCCGGGAAATAGAAGATAGTCTGTGTTGAGGTAAACCACAGAGGAAATGAATTTTGCAAAGCAGGAGTAATATCTCTATGGTAGAAATTAAGTCAGTTCTTGAATTTCAAATGGAAGTGTTTCCTCACATCTGAATTCACTTAAAAGAGCTAATGTCCAAACAAGGATCTCAATTACAGGGAATTAAAACTCCCCTGAAGTCTCATGAATCCACAAAAGGCCAGAGATAAAAGGTAACTTAAAAATATTCTAATACTCCACCAGACACAAGACACATGTACATTATTTACAGATGAGGAGATCATTAGGAGAGGTTAGAGTTGTTTTCCAGGATCATATAGTCAATAAATAATAGGACCAAAATTCTAACCCAGGCCTCCTAGTTCTCTGATCCTGTTGCTTCTAGATCACTTAGGTATTTGTAAACAACCAAATCTATACCAGTTCCACCCCTCAGACTTTTCGAGGAGTTTGGCATTATTGAAAGTGCTTTGGAGCTATACAGAAGGTTAAATCCTAATTTAGTCACTTACTAGTGTATATGTCCTCTTTCTACCTCAGGCTCATCTAATTCACAAGATCATAAACCCTACTGCATTTACCTTCCAGTAAAAGCCAATTTTTATCACAGCATGGTGTTAAAACTTCAATGGAAAATTCACCTCAGGTGCTGAGCGGGAAGCCTTGCACAGCACTAGGAGCCCAGCAAACCACCTTTGACATTACCATCATACACCACTTACTCGAAGGCAGGCCCAAAGCCCTGAACTTTTAACTCTCAACCATGAAAGCAGAGTGCGGTCCTAGAAATTCATAGATATTTGTCACAAAAGCTGTGTGGAAGACTTTGTCCGCAGCTGTGCCCAACCAGAATAAATCAAATCCAATCTGAGCAATTTAGCACTTGGCACGACTTTTAATACCTATCACAACGGTTTTGTTTTCCAGTTTACCTAAACAGACTGTTACAGAACCTAATGACTTTAAACCAAAGCTACTAATAAAATAGACTTATCTTGAAAACACCAAGATCCTTCTGAAGGAATGTCAATATAAACACATGTGATAGAGGAAGAGATTCCACTGGAGTTCTGTCATTGGATCAGATGCCAATTTGAGTTGCCTGGTACTATTTTAGGGTATTAAAATCTATATGTACTCAATATCCCAACCACCCTGCATCTATTAGGCTTGAATGTCCTTTATGGAATGAACTTGATCCTCCTGCCTTACTTTTGGTCTCTCTCCAGAGAGGCTAATGCGCTGGCATAGTTCTGCCATTTGTCAGCCAGAAGTCTGGTTACACATTTGCTCGTCAATCTAAACCTAACCTATTCTCATTCGAGCACTTGGGGTTTTGTGTAAATCAACCAGACATTCTGTCATTCACCAGCAATATCTCTCCATAGTATTCTACATCCATGTGTCTTCATGAAATATTTCATTATGTTTGTGGAAGAAATACTCAAATGAACGTGCTTTTTCGGGAATGGTGACACCAGAGTGTTATAAATCTGTTCATTACCACAACAAGGATAAATGTTATTTCTGCCAAAGATTTTTGATAACGGGTGCACTAATGCATCTCAGCACTTCCTGAAATTAAAGGTCTGCCCTGAGAGGTAAGTGGTATAATGAATGCATGACTAACAAATGCAAACCCAAATTTTGGAGCTAAGTTTTCCTTGTTAGTTTAATTGATCGTTTTCACCAGGTGCTGTCTTAGGAAGCTCATAATGCATTTTCTACTCTCTTGATATTAATATCCAGGTAAGGCTGGCCCCAAGGTTTGTGAAAAGGGCAGATCCTTATTAACTTAGCATGTTTTATTGTAATTTTTCTTAATTTGGACTCACTTTTCAAAGCTGTACTTCAAAACCTGCTATAGTTTAAGAACAGTATTTCATAAATTCTTGTTCATCATTAAGTAAAATATTTAATAACTATTGAATTCTCTATAAAGAAGATGGGAAATGTTTCTAGTGGGGTGACAAGTTGTTTTTTTTTTATTTTAATAGGTGATGTGATGCTAGCTTACACTATCTCTTTTAGCATTTTCTAGAGGCATGAAGAGAAGAAACTAGGAATATAAATGAGAAGGATAATCATTCTCTTTTATACATAAATGACATTGGACTAATTAATGTCATGTTTCTGAACAGAAAATGGTGTTTTAATGTAAAGCAAATTCATAAGGAGAAAATGAGGAGGGGAAGCCTTCAAAGAGCAGAGTTGATTTCTACTGGTGTCTGAAAATGCCTGCTATCATTATTCACAGTGAGCACTGGAAGTTTACTACCAACTCTATATATTTATATATACTTTTTTAATCCAAAGTCTGTGAAAGGCCGGTTATTCATCCAAATAATGTGTTCCCTAAAATTAAAGACTCACAGATTGAGCTTTATCGGATTGGCACTGTAAGTACCCCAAATGGACAGACCATAGATCCTAATCAGAGAGTAATGATTTTCCTTTACCGCTTTGGAGTCTGAGCAGGCTCAGCAGATCGCTGTCAATGTTTTTTAGTGCCTAATTTCAAACATAATGTCGCTTGGTCATAGTTTAGAGATCAGTATCTAAGTAAGTAAAATTCTGTGCGGAAGTGAAATGCAGAAATAATCCTCCTCAGCATTCTCTCTTAATTCCTATTCATTCTCAGAACAGTTTTTTTCCTCTACCTGACTTGCTCCCTCTAGTGTTTCCTGGATAAAGTACAGGAACTAAACCTCAATTTACAAACAAAAAACACAATTGCAAACTTAGTCATTTTACTATACAGGAAAGCAAACTAAACCCCATTTTTTTTTGGACAGTGTTAGTACTTGAATTCGGAACCTCACACATGCAAAGCAAAAGCTCTGCCACTAGCAGCACATTCCTGGCCCTTGGGCAGATGTTTTGATGTTAATTCTAAGGTAGAGGCTTTCTATTCTCTTTGAAATCTTAGAATCTCAAATTTTGACTCTTGTATTCCAACTCCAGAAACCAAAGGAGGGGGTATTGAATTCTTATCTACTAAGAATCTTGGGTAACTTGGGTGAACTGTCATGACAGTACCAGTTACCAGTTGCCTAGTACTATTTTAAGATATTAAAATCTAGATGTACTCTTTAATATGCAAAAGAGTATATGCAGACAGGTAATTGTGGGACATAGTATCCAAGGGGAGAACTGATACTTTGATTCTTCTTAGTTACTCAAGAGCTTCAAGATATTTGACCCAAGAGAAAAGCAGTTAGTTTGTAAGCCTTACTAAGACAAAAGTTTATTTGCCACCCCAGAAGGCTTATAGTCAACCAGAAAGAGAAGCTCCTTGGGAAATATATTGCCCAGGATCACCTTTTCTCGGGAGAAAACAAAATACTTCCAAAGTCATCAGCTGCTGTTGCTGCCTTTTTTAAAATTAACCACAGCTGATTGTGAGAGCTAACTATAGGCCAAGGTCATCTGGGGACCCACCCAGTATGCTAACATGGATGGCACCCACACCTTGCCAGAACACATGGGCTTGCAGTCCAGCCAGCCCAGTTCAGAGAGCTATTTTAGGTTAGAGATCCCACAAGAAGGCCCTTGACTGTCCTTCAAGCTTCTCGCATTCAGCTGTATGCACTAACCATACGAAACTGCAATCTGCTCTATACACTGCTCTTTTCTCTTCTCCACAATGTCCTACCTTTTTGGAACCTCTACAAGGAGTCAACAATGTGTCAAATTATAATATCATCTTTCATTTAATAACACAGAACTTACCTATGTTCTTAAACATTTATCAGTCCTCTTACAGTGAATTATTACAATGAAGCCCTTATACAGGAAACCCCAGGCTTACTTTGCTTCTTCACTTCAGTCATCTACCAAAGTCCCATCATGGCCAACTTTGTCAGTTATGATTCCAAGGGTCTGTTGTTGATCCTCTCTTCTCTTCCAAGTCCACTGTCAAGACAGTTCACCCACTCTTGCCTGAACTTCTATAGAGACTTCCCATTGTTCCTTTCTCCAATTTACCAACGTTCTGCCATGAAATTATATTTAGAAGGGCCAGGACAGTGCTCACAGACAGACCATATGCCTTACATGTGAGAGACCTCAGATTTAACCCTTCATGCTACAAAAAAATAATGCTTTAAAATTACACATCATAACGCAAAATTACAAATAACTCTATTAAAATACTTTCATGGTTCTTTATTACCTACATGATAGATTCCAACCCCCCTAGATTGTTGGTCAAAATTCTTTAAAATCTACACGACCCCCTGCAAACTTTATGGTTTTGAGGCCTCACCTGTTAGTGCTCAGGGATTATTCATGGTTCCATGCTCAGGGATCACTCCTGGTGGTGCTCAGATGACCATATGGGTTTCATGCTGGGAATTGAACCCAGGTTTGACACATGCAAACCACTGTCTGCTGTACTCTCACTCTGTACTATCACTCTGGTCTCCCTGAATCCTTTTCTAGGATCATCTCTTGCCAATTTTCCCTCCATACCTTCATCATATAAACACCCTTCTCCAAATCCATCATGACTTTTTATATCTCCAGATCTGCCTCGTAGTCTTATATACCTATTTATCTTACATTTCTTCCACATGGTTTCAATTTAATAATTACCTCTTCGATGTATTTTCCCTAAAACTCCTCTAAAGATCTCACATAGGATACACTCATGTATATAGTTTTTTGCCTGTGATGCTTTCATGTAACTGGTTACTCTGTGTTCCTATGTCACTGGTCACTCTGTGTTCCTATGTTCCTGTATATACACATATTTTGTACTCTACATATGTGATGCTCTTGATTTTGGTGTATTTAATTTTCTCACATCTCAAAGAAGTCCACATATTTTGTTGTAGCTCTGCACTGTACTGCACTGTCCTCCCATTGTTCATCGATTTGCTCGAGTAGGCCCAGTAACGTCTCCATTGTGAGACTTGTTACTGTGTTTGGCATATCGAATATGTCACAGGGAACTTGCCAGGCTTTGCTGTGAGGGCCAGAAACTCTCGGTAGCAGTAGCTTGCCAGACTCTCCGAGAGGGGTGGAAAAATCGAACCTGGGTGAGTCAAGTTGGCCACATGCAAGGCAAATGCCCTACCACTGTGCTTGAAATAACTAATAAAAACAAGGTTTTATGACAAGTCGGTGAGTTGCATTCAAGAAAATGTCTTTGAATCTAACTCCTGTGTTCACCTATTCAGAGGTTACCAAACAGAACTTGGTTTACCATATTCTATGCTGGATTGCAGTCTTAAGTCTCATAGCTATACTTTAAGAAAATTGCTATTTTAGCCAAGAGATGAACAAGAATATTTCTGGGGACAAGAGAATTAGATCAGAGGAAAACCATTTATAACAAGGATGTGCTGGGGTTGAGTCTTGCGGCACTATTGGATAGTCTGATACTGTGACACTCAGACACCAAAGTGTCAAAGAACTGAAAATAAATGAGCAGTGTAGCTCTTTCTAGGACAGTCACTTCCCTCTGTGGATTTCTCACTGAGACAAATATTTCAAAAACCTGCAAAGTTTTAATAAATTTATGACTAATTTGCTGAGATCAAACTTGGGATTGATCAAAATTACTCAAAATTAAGGCAGATGTTGGTACTTCACCAGCTGGCAAGGTTGAATTCTCACAAATTAACTAGACCATAAGGCATAAGTCACTTCTCAAATCAGGCTAAGCATCAAATCTAAATATCTCTTTCAAATCTACATTATTTCAGTACCTAATTTTTTAAGCATTATTGAACATTAATGTTTCAGGTTGAGATATGGGAGGAGAGAAGATAAACATAGCTTTCCCCCTTCCACAAAATCTTGCAGTCTGGGTATCTCTTGACTATCCCTTCTCCTAAATCTGACTTATATAGATGGTGCCTTGCATGTCGTGGTTTTATTTTAAACTTTTGGCTTTATGATTTTACAAGTGATCCACATTGAATAGAATCACTTATCACTTAATCACTTAATCCCCGTTATTCATCGATTTATTCGAGCGGGTGCCAGTAACGTCTCCATTCATCCCGGTTGCATGCTAGCGTAGCCCAATGGTATCTGTTCATTCTAGGAACATGCAGAGCTTCAAATCGATCATTTAGGGTCTTGATGAAGAAGTCTGACCATCTTATAGGTGGGCGTCCACGTGATCTTTTGATGTCCCGTGGAATCCAATCAGTAATGGCTCTAGTCCAGCGGTTGTCTGTAAACCTCATTACGTGTCCAGCCCATCTGATTTTTGATGTCTTGGCAAATGAGACAGCGTCCCTGATTCTTGAGCGTTGACGAAGATCAGAACTCCGGATTCTATCTCTGATTTGAGTGAATCGTGATATTCCAAGCATAGTTCTTTCGATTCCTCTTTGAGAGACCCGAATAGCGTTCTCATCCTGTTTTCGTAGGGTCCAGGTCTCTGAGGCATATGTTAATGCAGGAAGAACAGTGGAATCAAAGAGATGTGCTCGTAGCTGGAGGTTCTTTGTCCTTTTAGTTATTTCTTCAATGCTCTTGAAGGCATTCCAAGCCACTCTCTTCCTCCTGCGCGACTCAGGTGCCAGGTCATTCATCATGTTGATTTCTCGACCTAGGTATATATAACTGTTGCATTCGGAGATGG